GTTCAAAATAATCATACTCAAAAGGCTGGGTGTGACAGGCCTCAAGCAGATGTCCGATGGGCTCTGCGGTCACACAAATCTCTTTCAGGTACCTTAAGAAGAAATAGCCTTCCACGGTGTGGGCAGCCGGGAAGTGTCAACCGCCCTCACAACTCTGTCAGCACCCAAGTTTCTTCTGACTGCTATCCTCCTCCTCCATCATTACCTTCTAATCTTCCTTCACGTCTCTTAATTAATGATGCTGCATCATCTTCAATTTCTCCTACCTCTGCAGCCTTCGACAACGATCTGAGTCCACAGAACAGCATCCCTGGTCTCCTTAAACCACGCTCCAAATTACATATTGGAGCCTTCAATGTCCGCACCCTCCGTCAAATTGGCCAACAGGCTTCGTTGGCAAAGACTCTAGCAACTCGAGGCATGGATGTGTGCTGTGTTTGTGAGACACGCATACAGGACCCAAGTGTGGTTATTCACCTGACCTCTCCTGACCAATCTGGTGAATCTGCAAAATTCACCCTTCGAGTTTCTGGAGATTCGATAGCTAGCTCTCGTGGTCTTGCAGGTGTAGGTATAGCATTAAGCACCAGGGCAGAAAACTCACTACTAGACTGGATCCCAGTTGATAGTCGCCTCTGCGCTATGAGGCTGAACGGCACAGTGAGAACTAAAAGGAATAGTGAGACTCGCCGTTGTCTCTTTGTAATCTCTGCTTACGCACCCACTGACTGTAGTTCGGATGAAGTGAAGGACGAGTTCTACCATAAACTGTCTAACCTCCTCTCGAAAGCCAAACGTTCGGACGTAGTGGTTGTTGCAGGTGACCTCAACGCACAGGTGGGTAGACTGAGTGAGGCAGAAAGGCACTTAGGTGGCACTTTCGGAATCCCAGCTGAACGTACAGATAACGGTGATCGCCTATTACAACTATGCTCAGATAACCGCCTATTTTTAGCCAGCACAAATTTCAGACATAAAGAAAGGCACTGTCTGACCTGGCGTCCACCGAGCTCGACTCAGCGATGGACACAGATAGACCACATTGCTATTAGTCATCGCTGGAGAGGATCGGTGGAAGACTGCCGCTCCTTCTGGAGTACGTGTTTGGACAGCGATCATGCGTTGGTCCGAGCACGTATATGCCTGCGTCTCAATGGACGTAGAAAAAATTTGGCAACAAAACCACTACGAGTTCTGCTGGACAACGAAAACACCAAAGCCGTGTTCAGTGAGAAGTTGGCTAGGCAGTTATCGGAACAAAAACTGTCACTCATCCAGAAGAAGCTTGGTGCCATCTTCAGTCTACTGTAAAAGCAGCACTGGAGACTGTAGCCGACTCCAAGATAATGGCTAAAAAGAGCCAGTGGATATCAGCAGCTTCTTCCAAACTAATGGATGCACGTGAATGCATCCCTGCAGGCTCTGAGTACAATGAAGAGCGAGCGCAACTTAAAAATAAACTGACGAAAAGTCTGCGCAACGATCGTGAACAGTGGTGGGCAGCAAAGGCTAAAGAGATGGAAAAGGCAGCGGCGATCGGTAACAGTAGACAGTTATTTAGACTTATTAAGGAGACTGGGGGGAAATGGTCAACAACAGTTAGTGAGGTTATAGCGGAGAAGGACGGATCGGCGATTCACTCGCAGGGAAGGCGACTGGGACGATGGGCAGAACACTTTGAGGAACAGTTTAACTGGCCTCCAGCCACCATTGCGCTGCCCGCTATCCAGTCGGACCCTGAATGGGACATAGAGACAGGTCCCCCAACACTAGAAGAAGTTGAGAAAGCGGTAGGTAGCCTGAAACGGGAAGGGCAGCAGGACCAGACGGACTACCTGCTGAGGTATACAAGAATGGTGGTAGAGTTCTCTTAGTCAGGCTAACGGAAGTGTTAGCCAGTATATGGGAATCAAATACGATCCCCTCCGACTGGTCTAAGTCACTGATCATCCCAGTCTTCAAGAAAGGCGAGAAGTCCTCTTGTGATAACCACAGAGGAATCAGCCTGACAAACATAGTGTCTAAGATCCTAAGTTCTATAATTCTCCGACGCCTGAGTGGAGCTCGGGAACAGCAAGCCCGAGAAAACCAGGCAGGCTTTAGACCTGGCCGTGGATGTATCGACCAAATATTCACACTGCGCCAGGTCCTGGAACATAGGCATGCTTACAGACGCCCGACAATAGCTGTATTTCTCGACCTGAAGGCGGCATTTGACTCCGTTGATCGAGAAGTCTTATGGCAGTGTCTGTCACTGAAAGGCGTGCCTAGTAAGTACATCACCTTATTGAAAGCTCTCTACTCGAACACTTGTGTGCATGTTAGAGCCTATGGTGAGTTGTCGGGAGAGCTGCACTCATCAAGTGGTGTCCGTCAAGGATGCCCACTCTCTCCATTCTTATTTAATTTTATCATAGAGATTCTTATGGAAACCTCCCTCTCGTCGCCTGATTACACAGACATTGACCTATTCACAGGAGAATTTTCGTTTGATCTAGAATATGCAGATGAAATAGTCCTGTTAAGTGAAGACGCTAACAAGATACAGAGTCTTCTGAACACTTTGAGTAGCGATTTGAGAATGTTTGGAATGCGTTTCTCACCACCGAAATGCAAACTGTTGCTCCAGGATTGGTCTTCAGCGGTGCCCCATCATGGCTAACAATAGAGAGTGGAGTGGTTGAGTGTGTTGACCACTTCACTTACCTGGGAATAAGGACCAGCCCTGATGGCTCAGTGGACAGCGAAATCTCTGCACGGATACTAACGGCTCGACCGGCTTTCGTCAACTTATGCCACATATGGCGCCGCCGTGATATCCGTTTGTCTATTAAGGGTCGCGTATACTACACACCAGTTCCCTCTGTTCTACTCTATGGCTATGAAGCATGCCCATTGAAGGTAGAAGATATGAGAAGGCTTCAGGTGTTTGACAACCACTGCCTTCGTAGTATAGGCCGTATTCCGTGGTGACACCATGTGAGTAACGCAGAAGTCAGGCTGAGGCATAGAGTTTTAGGGAGAAGAGGTAAGTCGGTTGACGAGGTTGTAAGCCTTCATCGACTGAGATGGTTGGGACATGTGTTACGTATGCCTAGTCGTCGATTGCCTCGTCACACAATGTTGGCTGAAGTAGGTCCAAGGCTCGAGGTGGCCAGACTAAAACACGACAAGAAGAACCAATGGTTGGAGACTCTAGGTGATATGGCTCAGAACCGATTTCAGTGCTGCAGATGTATACACAGGTTATCCTCATCTTAAGACTATACCGATTCTCACGACTTTCTCATTCTTCCTTTCTCTCTTTTCGTACTTTATATTTCTTTTGACTGCATTCTCTTATCTTCACCTTGTGCCTCACCACCTTTTTACTTGATGTACTTATATGAAGTGTGGCAACGTGGACCTTTCAGCAGTAATGCCTGGTCCTAGGTTGATCTGGATCTGGATCCTCGTCCAAATATAATTGATTATCCACCATTGTAATGATACTTGTAATTTCTCGTTGCTTTACAGGGCCGAATTGCTGGGCCTCTGTTGACAGATAAGCTCCAATGGGGATGCCTCGATACTGCCAGTTACTCACTATGTTATACTGATCTTGGTGACTAGAAGAGTAATCGTGGATGCGAGTTTCGTCCTACTTGGGACTCGTCAGCTGAGTGCGCATGCATCACATTGCAGAGTGATGCAGTTCCCACTAAGACTTGAGCGCAGTATCCTTCTTTTCAAACGCCAGAGCCTTATCAGCTAAGCCACTGGGATTACCAGGGGTCGAGTAATTCGATACTGTATAGCAACGGGATATTACAAGTTTCATTACAACTGATATCCATACCACAAGAGGTAGTTTTCGTGTCCCAGTGGTTTAGTGGATGATGCTCTGGCATTTGAAGAGAAACATACCGGGTTCGAGTCTCAGTAGGAACAATATCACCCACTGGGGTGCAGGTACGACCAGGTGATGAGTCCCAGATAGGACGAAACGCGTGTCCTGGATTCCTCTAGTTTAACACATTTCTTGTTTCTATTGTCTCATTTGGTTTCTACGTTTCTCACCTCAATGAGCAACAGTAAACTCATCCCATTAGGGTTTGCGCTATGGAAGGAATAGTATCATACGAGCAACTACAAACTATCAAAATACACCACAAAAAGGGTTGTGTTTTTTTTTTGAAAAATCTCTTCAATCCCTACTATGGGAAGAGACAAGCTTGCCAGCTAGTGTAATTACAATAAACAGACAGTTTAGGTGCCGTATCACGTATTCACATGACAATCGAGTAAAAATGACAGTGACTTAAGTGAAGACCTTACTAGAAGACTGATTGTGCGTAGCTCAATTTGTATAGTACCCAACATTGGGTCGCTGGTGAGAATCCTGTTTTAACCCAGGTTTCTAATTCAACACCAATCATCACACAGCATTAAGTAAAAGTAGACAGAAGTATTCTGTATTTATCTTGACTAATTATAGTAGCAACTGATAGTTGATAGAGTCCATAGACAGAAAAAGACAGAATCGACGCAGAACATCACACACAAAGGCATCGTTCCAACTTGCCACACTTCACAGTGGTATACAAAGAACAGATGGATAGAAAAAGGAGTGATATCAAAGTAGACAATTGTGCAAGAGAATAAACACTCTAAAACACTAAAGAGTAAATACAGCTACGGCAATGTGATTGATTTTCAGCCATTTCACCAAGAGTACCTATCGACTGGTGCCAGATTTGGGTCTGGCCACTCTAACCTAGCATAGTAGAACAAGGTAGGCGGTGGTTCTCCATCTGTAGCACATATTCAAGCCATCTGAATCGACCAAGGTTCACAATCTCGTCAATCGAATTGACTATCTTTCGCCTAGTATCCTTCGCCAGACCTCATGTCTTTTTCACTCAGATAAAATTCAACACGTTTGTATTGATAAATCAAATGTTTACCTTTACACTCAAGAAACTAAGTAATAACAACAACAACCAAAACGCACAGCTTACTTGTTTAACTCGACTTTCCAAGTCTAAACCTCTTGTAAGTAGGCGAGTAACTTCAGACTGTTGATTTATAAAAGCATCCGATTTCTTAGCTAATTCATCGGATAAAGTACGTATATGCATATTAGCAGCGACCAGTTGGCGGGCACAGTCACGAACTAAAGCAGTTTCATGCTCATCTAATGCATCCGCAGTAGCTGACATACGATTACGCTAACAAGAAAAGAAAATACATATTTTCTTTAAGTAAACAAAACATATTAATCATAGAAGAATGTAGAGGTTAATATAAGGGTAAAATCTGGATACTATAGCAGAGTTAACTCCCCTTTTAGGGATTTTTGGAGTAGACTGGCGTTTACTCTCTTCTCTTTGTCCCCTTTTTTGGTGGTAATAACTCAACCACGTCTCTCGGTAACCATGTATAGTCCTTCCCACTTCGGGAGCAGTTTTCTTTCACCATATTCACGTCCTCAAGTATATCCTCGTTCTCTGTATTCCACTTGATCTCCGACTTCAAACAGTTTCCATTTACTTTCGACTCTCTACTCAGATTTTTCAGCATCAGCTTTCTGTTTTCTTCCACATTTCTGATTGCCTGTTTACACTCCTTTCTAAGTCTTGTCATGTTCTATGGCTGTTGTTGGGGCCAGGTCTTACTATGTATTGGGAGCCATGGCTTCCCGCTATACATTAACTGGAGCGACGAGTTCTTGGTTGTCCCTTGTACCGGGGCACGATGCATTAATAATATTAACGGCAGTTTCGTCTCGTAATACCCTCCTTGGCTTTCGAAGCAAATCACTACTTAAGTGTACGGTTATTCCGTTCTGTCAAATCGTTAGTCTGCGGGTGGTATGGTGTTGTTCTTATCCTCTTAGTGTCGAGCTGCTCGAAGCAGGATTTGAATTATTCACGCTCAAAACAAGGACCTTGGTCGGTCAATATCATCTTCGGCACACCGTGATTCGCGACAATGTACTGCATCACCGCTACGGTCACTGGCTTCGCGCGTTGAGCAGGAATCGTGTAGCATTATCCATCATCACCAACCTTCGCTCCTGGATCCCGTACACCCACCAGCACCGCGACCGACTGGAAGTCCATCCGCTGACAATACAGGTCATGGAATCTTCATCACGTTCAGAAACAGCGACACCAATTTTAGAAAACGACAAGACGGAGAAGAAGGAAGGAATGTTACTATTGACATCTTGTACAATAGTCATCAAATATTACATACTTTCCACTAAGTCATTTGCAAAATGTGCTTCATTTCCTCTTCTGCTTCCATTTTTATTTGCTGTAATACGTCCACATTGTCTCTTACGTTTCTCAGGGCAGAATCTTAAGCTATTGTTCGTAATTGCCTATAATTTCTGCCACCCTTTCAATATATACTACTTATATCCAGTATACACTACAAAATCACAATACAGTCAGAAGACTACAACAACACACGACATCCAAAATACTGACCAAATAACACATAATCAGTTGGTTATTAGTGTCGGTAAATATATGCTGTCCACTTTCACCATCAGAGTACAAAATGATTCTAAAAGATTCACTACTGTGCAATCAACTGTTAGAAGCTGTCGAAAAGTTTCTACACCTAGGAAAGTTGCATGAGTGGTGACGAATGTGTGATGAGTGAAATTTTCGAACGTATATCGAAAACCAAAGCGAAATACGCTAATCAGAGTCAGTGGAGACAGTTTTGCTCTACACCTGCGAAACCCGGTTTCTCCTAGCTGAGGATATGCTTAACGCTCTGAGTTTTCAATCACTGTTTTCCTTGTAAAATGACCCAATATTCGGCGGAAATATCATCTAAATAATGTTGAGATGCGGTAGTGTGTGCTTAGGCGCAATGGAGATCGACATTTATTGAGTGTTGTCATCTTGGAACACCAACTTCGGTGGCTTACATATGTGTTATGTTTGTCGTCCCAGTGGCTTCCACATTCCTTACGGTTCACTTGACCTTGGACTAATTGGAAAAAGCGAAAGTTGACAGTGCATAACATGATGTCATCGGACGACCAATAGTTATCCTAGGTGTATCGCCACTATCCTGATAGAGTCTGAGAGAACTTGAGACTTTGTGGGTCGAGATTAAAGTAGAAATAGGTCAGAATCGAAACAAGTGGTGATAATAATACTGTACTTTTGTTCTTTCTCCCACTACCGAACAGTAAACCGGAAAAGTAATTCTCCTCCCATCGACATATCTTTGGCACTGCTTGTTAAACAACTTACAAACGTTTACGCTTCCGTTCTTTCTCTTTTTTACTATCACAATTTCATCTTAGTTTTGCTACATCATATACAATAAGGGTGAATAGCTCGGTGTACATATTGCGCCATGTTTTGAATAATAATGACGAGTGACTAAAAACCATGAGAATTCGAGTTTACGCCACTTATAATGACAAACAGGGTCCCGATTAACGAAACGACAAATTTTTGAAACACTACATATACCGTTTACTTCATCTCCTGGTAACTCCCATTCCCTGAAATGAATCAACAAACTGACAGACAATGAGGTCATAAATGAAGTGAAATATTATGAAAACGGTTTACAAAGAGATAGTTGGAGATTGAGGCCTCCTTTCACTTTTAATCGTAGTTCACTATGAACTAGTCGTATATGAATGTATTTTCTTCAACTGTATACACCATAATGAACCGAATCCATCATCCGGCACGACAGTACAGTCTCCTAAATCCAATACACAAAACATTCATTACGGACAAATGAATTCTAATCCATTGGTTAAATAGTAAACGCGTTTACTATGAAACCTGAAGGTCATGGGTTCAAACACTGGCGGAATCGTGAGTACGTACTGCTGCTGAGGAGTGCCATAATAGGACAAATCAGCTGTTCAAGGCTGTCAGGCTTTCAATAGTTCTCCAAATAACGTCACTCCGGGATGAAAACTACTCTGCAGTTAATCGGCCCATACAAACAACCATTTTTTTATACTCTGGACGTGCTTTCAAGGTTCTTTAGCGATTGGATTGATTTTCTGGAGTAAGGTTGCTAGTCCCACGCCCAACTTTCCTTCTTTATCCGGGCTTAGGACTAGCAAGTAAACTAGTAATCTAGGCGAGGTCGGTTCAGAGACTTGGTGCGTTACGAAAAGCATTTCCAACAAACAACTACACACATACATCTGCAACAGCTGCCACCTACGCTCACTAGACACTGACAATGAAGATAAGATAGATGGCCAGAATAATAAGAATAAGCAACGAGGATGCCACTGTGGCTGGCTACGAACCAACCGACCAACAACCTATGGCCCAACAAATATGCAGAAGAAAGTGGAGACGCACTGGATTGGACATACACTTAGAAGACCGATTGAGGACATCACGAGTCAGGCCAGGCCCTCAACTGGAACTCAAAGGGGAAACAACGAGTTGGGCGTCCCAGCTGAGGGTGACATGAAGGAGATGCTGTGAGGAAGAAATGAAAGCTTCTGAGCAGTCGTGAAGCCAGGTTGAAAAGACTGTAGAGAAGATAATGAAATGGTGACGTGCTACTGAAGCCCTGTGCTCTACTAGGAACCCAAAGGATAAGTAATAATAATAATAATAATAAACACACCAAAAGCCGAATTAGAGGCATATATCTGATACATAAGATAATAATCATAATAATGAGACGATAAAAGCAGACATACCTCTTGACGTAGTGCGTTATTTTCTTCTTCTAAATCCTGAAGTTTTCTGTTCAACTGAGAAAAGTTGATCGAAGACAAGGATATACCATCACCGCCACCACCACCAATGGATCTGTAATAACATAAAATGCAGAAAACACAAAAATAAAATCTAACAAGATTATCAGGTATTTAGATATGGTTATAATGCAAATGGAATACGAGAACTCTAAAAGAAGTTCCTGGAATTTTAATTTTTTTTTTAACTACTATTTTTGCGTATAACTAGAACACTATGATAACAATTCAGTTACATGGAACACGATGACATGTAGTGTAGATCGTTTTGTGATAGACAGACAAACAGACAGGTAATATCAACATACGACCTGGTATTAGTGTATAATAGGCGATTTTGCAACACTTTATATCACCTAGTCAAGCGACAATGTACTACAGTCAACGATAAAGCAACAAAGGAGAAAGTGTCAGAAAGTTTTGAAAAAAGAGTGAGAAGGAGTAAGTCTATGTTTAGATAGACCTGTACCGTTACAATATATTCTGGGTTATATAACATAGAGTTTCGAAATACTGATTTTGGTTTTCACTTGAAATCCAACCGAGATGTTTACATTCCTCCACACAACTAAGCTAAATAATAATAGACTTCATGTAATGTTTTACTCTGGCTACCTCGAACCTTTCTTTAGTCAAAACCTACTGCAGACGGTGACTAGGCATGCATACATAACACGTGTTTTAGCCATCTGAGTCGATGATGACCGCATTAACTGGCTTTTCATGTGGGTGACACCACAACACGCGGATTATCCTATGAAGGGAACAGTGGTCAAACACCAAAAGTCTTCTCATGTCCTCTACCTTCATTGACCATGTTTCACACCCACACAGTTGAAGAGAGTGAACTGATATGCAGTACACTCAACTCTTATTAGACATTAGAATATCAAAGTGGAGTTGCAAATGGCACAGGTTAGTGTAAGCCAAGCTAACCTTTCATATCAATGCCGAGACTTCCATAGTCCATGACCTATCACAGCCGATCCAACTTCATGGATAAGGAAAGTTGTTAGCGAACGCAACCACTTCACTCCTTATAGTTAAAAAAAAAGGCACCAGTTCTGAAGGAACAATATTGCATTTGGGTGGCGAGAAACGCATTTCGAATATTCTCCAACTGCCATTGATCGCAGGCTACAAACGTAGAGCCTCATTATTACCACAACCGACGGTATTCACGCTTCTTTCTGTCAGTTATTAAAGTCAGTCAACCTTACACAATATAAAAGCAAGACTAAATTGCTTCCATCATCTATGCCTCACAATGGCTCACCGGTTTAAGAAGATCATTATCAACCAACCTACCGATGCCTGGGTACCCCAGTTAGTATCTTTAGCCCTCTTCTCACACAATAAGTGTGGCTTATTGCCTATTGTACGAATGTGTAGGCACAAGAATGCTGAGTAAATTTCGATTCATTCCATTTACAGGTAATTTAGTTGATTTAGGATAATGTCTTTCGTTATTGCATTTGACACAGTTTTTGTGATTTGTATAGACTTATTTAGTTGATCTCAAGTTAGTAATCATCATGGACCGACATCAATTGAAGAACTATTGAAAAGCTGGGAACACTGGAGCTTTAGATCGAGTGCATGCTTTATCCTGAACTGACATAGGTTGAAAATACGAACCAATGGATTCCGGCTCGTTGGTAACATGTTGGTCATAGAACCTGAAGGTCCCGGGTTCAACTCCTGACAGGGTGGGGTCATGCATGCGCACTGCTGAGAAGTCATATACTAGGACGAAACAGTCGTCCAGTGCTCCCAGGTCTCCAAAGTTCCTTCAACTGATGTCAGTTCATCATGAAAAATAACTAAATCCCCACAAACCAACAAATTGAAATAGGTTCAAATGATGCTTAAAAGTGAATTCTACATAAAGAAGACTAGTGAACAAAACTAATTTGAACTAACAATCATGTATATTCTCTTGTAAGAAATGCGGATAATGTATAGAATTTATAGTATGAAATGAATATGATTTTATCTTCCTTGTAGGTCATAATTAACTCAAGGATAGTTTTCAGATGGTTGGGAGCGAATTTTTAGACATCCGTATATTACCAACCAGTTAACAATAAGTTTCATCACTACTGTCAAGAAGGAAGTGATCTGTAATACACGAGGGGGGCTGATTAAAATGTGACATCGGAAATTTTATACAATTCTATTTTTAATTAAATATGATTCTATCTAAGAAAGAAAAATACCAACAAGGGAAAAAGTATTCCGCATAGTCTATGCGGTGTATGTTTACACCAGAAAACGGAAAGATATTTGTAGAAAAGAATCGACAGAACTAAACTGTTGTTGTCTGCTAGATGGTCAGCAGCAGGATGTAGGACGCACGTTTCGTCCTACTAGAGACTCTTCAGCTGGGTGTACTTGTAGAAATGTCATATTGATGAATCCCTAAGTGCAAAAAATCTTGATTCAATATCTTCTATAGATCACCCCTAATCACCTGACATTAATCCAAGATCATCATGATACTCAGTCGTCCAGCTTGTTGACTACTTACATAGTAAAGTAACCGATAGAATTCGATCATCACTACCGGTAAGACAAGTTGAAATAACCAGCCGACTTAGATTGTAGAAAGTGGTGAAAGTTGTGACCTTTCGGTGGGGATTCTTATATGTTAACCTTAAATAAATTATCACCCACTAAGGAAGGACGTTACCACGTTCCGGCTATAAAAGTAGTCTGATAACAGTAGTGGTAGTAATAGTGTTATTGCTTGTATTATACCGTATTATACCACCATCCATCTTTACTATAACCAGAACATAGATATATCCAGGCATCCGCATGGAAGCCCATATGCCAACAGAGATTGATCAATTCGGTCCAAGTAACAACGGTATAAGCAATAACACTAAAATTATATCCATCGCACAAGAAGTGGCTATCGTGGCTCGGTGGTGTAGTGGATAACGCTCTGGCGTTTGAAGCGATCGCCCCCGTGTCCGCATCCCGGTGGGAACAATATCACTCACTGGGAGGCAGGTATATCCAACTGACGAGTCCCAAATAGGACGAAATCCGTATACTGGATCCTACTGCTAGTCACTATCCATCTTTACTATAAGCGGAAGTAATAGGTGGATATGCCCATGAGACTTTTAGAAGTGACCAATTTTACCTTTATCGAAGGTAAGAAATAAGAAAAAAAGTATATAATTCTGAAAAGAAAAACAGAAGAGAATGGGAATGGTATTTCGAGGGGGAGTGAAACAACCACAGCGTTTTCAGAGACTTTAACAGTGAAAACAGCAATCAAACATTGAAAAATACAACAACAAAAAAACAGAGCAACTTGGAGTGGAAATTTCGACCCAATCACCGATAAATGAATTGTTACGTCAAAAATTGGGAAATTGTTGACGGTAATTAGGGGTACTGGGGAAAGAACAAAATGGCTAAAACCGTAGTAATAGTGATAATAATAATAACAGAGGTATTAAAATATTAGTCATTATAATCATTTGTGGGATGAATGAAAGGAAGGGTCTTGTTGTAATAGATAAGCTATACACATGATCAAGGCAAAGAAAGAAGCTGTACGAATTTCTTCTGAACACACAGACTTGGCTTGTTCAGGTGGATCCCGATGGCTTCTGTTGTATGCAAAAGACAAACTCGTAGAGCATGGATGAGTGAGATTAGAAGGAATATGATAAACAGCCTTAAAGAAAGGTGACCAGTGTCAATCAGATGAGAGAGTATGAGCTCCGTATCGATCTGGCTTGCTCTTTACTTAGCTATAAAAGATGAGGCTCGGCGATTCAACGACGAACTTGCCTAACTGTACGTCCAATGTAACTAGCTATATATAAGCGTAGAGCCATTGATGAAGAACCGATTGAAAAGAAATATTTCTTGGCTCAGATTGTTTGTTTTACTGTAATTACCACCCAACTAATAAAATACATTCACTTTGAAATTGTTATTTATAAAAAAGCCCCAATATAACTCTATGCATCATCAGGCAATGACATACATACATTATGTGAATGGCTTATGATACCATCACCATCTGACTCTATAAATCTCAACAGATTGAACAGTTTTCGAACCCACTGGTTTGAAGCTAATTATTTGAAGTGTTGAAGCAAAGCAAAACGTAATTTAAATGGTCTGTATTTCATTCAACTGTCATCTTACCATCTGGGTTAAACTCATTTACGGATCATCACTCGATCAGACAAAAACTAATTATGACCAAACAATAAGTGAAATAACTCTCCAATAATCAGGTATCTATGTGAAGGAAACGCGAAGACAGAGACGAAAGAAGGAATGTTTATTAATAACATGTGGTACAGTATGTCGTTAAATATGGTACGCCTTGTACTAAGACAGTTATTTGCATAATGTGCTTCATTTCCTCTTCTGCTTCCACTCCATTTGCTGTTAACACTCCTGCGTTGTCTCTTGCAGAATCCTTACCCATTGCTGGTAATTGTCTATGATTTCTGTCACCCTCTCAACATATACTACTTATATCCATTCTTATCAGTAACGCCGACTAAGGACGCATTTCACGAAATAAACGGTCAAGCAACTCTAGTTACTCAAAAGATTTTAACTGTTTATGAACCTAATGTAACTAAACCTAACGTTATTGTGGGCCATGCATGCAGAAAGGATCAAAACAACTGTTGTGGAGCGTCTAATTTTTTATTGAAAAAACTAATTTTTCTAGTCAAAATACAGGACTTTTATTGGCTATATGATTAAATGTTAGAGTTGGACTTTGGAGTTAATCGTGGGGTGGTTTTAAAGGCCCCCCTAGCAACCGTTGGAACAGCCAATAAGGTTTCTGTATTTTGGCTAGGAAGTTGAATTTTCATAAAATAGAGGTTCGTAAATGATTGGTCTTAACAGTTGGTAGGTGGGGGAGGGTCTTTAAAGTCACTCTTGATCGTGTCTATGGTATTTTTGAATAAAGTTCAAAATTATTTACATACACACACAAAAACATATAGATGAAAAAGGAATTTCATTCGACTTTCATGTTGCAAATAATGATAACGTGAAGAA